CTCATATATGAGACACTGGTTTAGTCTTCGCTCGATCACAAGCTAGGTCGTGTCATAGACCGCGGCTCATATATGAGTCAGATCAAAAATGCTCCGAAATTTCTCAGAAAGTGTATTCTTAGCTTATAATCATTAATATGTACGTGAAACTCGGTTTATAAATAATAATATCGCAATATAAGAAGTTAGTCTGTGGCAACATACACAATTTTAACCCGTGGTAGCGAACGTGTTAAAGGAATGAACAACTCTGTATGACAGATCCAAAGAAAATAATACAAACCCTTACAGCTACTAACACAAGAAAAAAATTCACTCATTTTTGAACGATATCTACTTCTGTGATTTTCAATAGCCCTTACAAAGATGGGGCTAACAACAACTTATTAACGAACGAACACTTTTCCTACATATTTAAATTGTGTCATTTTTTCTGACTAGATGAAAAAGACGAAATAATGATATGATACGATAAGTTATTGAAATTTAAAATTCTTTGCAATTATCTAAAAGTTAACAGTTGGTATAGAAAATATGGACTGCTAAAAATTAATTACCAATTTCACATTAGTCTGCAATTGGAAGTTACATAGCAGTTGTCCATGGTTAATTGTTTCTTGATCAGACAAACACAAGCAAACTAATTTATTTTATATTTACCTATATTTCTACCTATCAATTTCTCAAAAAAGAAAGATGTTTTAATTTTTTTTCTTGGAATGTTATATTTATTTTGATTTTGCTTTATTGTCTATTAAATTTTGTTATTGTAATATGTATGTATAGTATGTAAATTGATTTCTATAATGCCCCAATTGTATTTTTTAAGCGTTGGAAGCATTTAACTATACTGCTGTCAACAGTATGAGATACATCTTACCTGGTGTTTCATTCGAAAACATCAATTGTTAGCACTGAAATCTGTTAAACTATAAATTCTCAATAATAGATACCTTATAATTGTACATCAATTTTTCAGTTTGTACATATCAATTGTTAGCTATAAATCTGATGAACTGTATTTTTTATAACAATAAACATATATAACTGTATGCTATTTTTTTATTTCATTTCCTTTATGGTTACTATACTTTCAGTTTAGCAAAAAATTCATCAATCAGCTACTTTTAGAATGTAAGAGTTCACTAAATAAAAAATGAAAATTCAAATCTTATCAGGATACAGTCATACTTTATTCTGTGAATTTTTAGTCACATTTATTAAAGAACCTTGAAGGTCGAGTGCTATTTGATGATTAATGTACTGTCTGTGAAAACAAGAGTTCACCAAATTTGATATCGCATACTCATCATATAAACCAAATTTAAACATTAATTTTAACACTCGACGAATTCAAAAAATGTAACTAATGGAACTTTTCGAGCATTAAACTTGGATTCTTAAACCTTGAATCGCTATAATCAAAAATAGCCAATTTTAGAGAAAAAATAATGAAAATCATTTCTGTTCAAAATAATTTACAAGTACCTGACAGAAACATATTTGAGAAAAAGAAAAAAACATATTTATGTAAATTCTTTATTTTCTCATACATTCCATAAGGAGGCGGGCCTGGTACTCCAACAGCCTGACATGGCTGTCTTGCTGACTTTTAAAAAATTTATCAGAGCATCCATATTATCTGAAAATACAATTTTATTAGATAAATTATTTTCAACTTAACATTAATTAAAACCTACAATTTTCAAGTCGCCTTCTATCATGTTGATGATTTGAATATTGTGTAGGATCTCTTTTAGGATTTGTTTTTTTACCATTACCTGAAATAAACATAAAAAATCATTTTTAGTACGATTATCAAAAATAAATAGAAAAATCAATTAACAGACAAAACGTGATACGGGATTAGGATTAATATAGCATACAAATAACATTGTAACATCTTAACATTAATTATAAACCTACAATTTTCAAGTCGCCTTCTATCATTGTTGATGATTTGAATATTGTGTGTAGGATCTCTTTTAGGATTTTGTTTTTTTTACCATTACCTAAAATAAACATAAAAATCATTTATAGTACGATTATCAAAAAATAAATAGAAAAATCAATTAACAGACAAAACTTGATACGGTGATTATTAATATAGCATACAAATAACATTGTAACATCTTAACATTAATTAAAACTTACAATTTTCAAGTCGCCTTCTATCTGTTGACGACCATACGGATGACTTTGAATATCGTTTACCATTTCTTTTAGAATTTGTTTTTTTTAGCATCACCTGAAATAAACATAAAAAACCATTTTTAGTACGATTATCAAAAAATAAATAGAAAAAATCAATTAACAGACAAAACTTGGTATGGTGATTATTAATATAGCATACAAATAACATTATAACAGTATTTGATACTATGACCCTAAAACTGAAATTCAAACTTTACAGTGCTTATTTAAACGTTTTAAAAAATATTTGATTTTTCTTTTAGTTGTGATGAAAAGTACAATTTTAGAAATTTGTATCTATTGGAAGAGAGTCCCAGAAATTACTAAACATATTAAATTATAATCTTTTAAATCACAAAACATTTAAAAGTTATTTGTATAAAATTATATATATACCTTCCTCCTTACATGTTCACAACCACATAACGCAATCATCCATTCTTGAACAGAACATATTATAAATTTTAAGTCATTTGGTATTAGGGTTCTTTACTCTCTATAAATTTAAAATGTAAAAAAACTATATAACAATATTAAAGTCAATGACGAGAAACCAAAAATATCAAGCTTGAAGCTTTAAAATTCAGTCAAATTTTGTTTATAGATACTTTAAGAACAGAATGCTTGTTTATATATATATATATATATATATATATATCTATATAATATCATCTTAAACATTACAAAACCAACCGACAATTAAACTATTACAATTTCAAACATAATAGATAATATTTGCTTGAAATTCATTAATATTAGAAATAATAGATTGTACTTACGTTGATCTCTTGATCGCCCATTGTGTAATAACCTCATAACAAAAAGGCGCCAATAATAAGGGATATATACATGGCCGTCCAAATAACAAAATTTAGGAGGGCATGTTTCATTGTACAGGATCAAAAGAGCTGAGAACTAGCGAACCCGACTAGGTTAATGCGGAAAAAAGGTAGAAGAGTAGATTTGCTTCCACCTCCCCAAAATATAGCCATGTACCCCTTTTTTATTGGATAAACTGTACGTTTAGGAAGAACTGATATCATCAAGAATTTGTACAATAAAACGATAGTAATTGATCGACTTGGATTCTCTGATTACAGACCCAATCAACTAACTTTATATGTAGGCACTTTAAATAGCAAAGAGAGTTTTTAAAATGCTTGGACCCCTAAACTTCAGGCCCACAAAATACAGAATTTATTGATTACTTGGTCGTTGAACTATTTATTATAAATGGGTTCTTTGTGTCGAATCTGACATTTTTTTCTGTGCCATAAACCCTCAACGGCAGAATGTTCTTTTACAGACAATCTTTAACTTTAAGGCGTCGGACAGAAGGTATCACTTCATAAGTATGTTCAACAATACCTCTCGATTTTTCTTGATCTATTTCAAATACAACACACGATACAATACATATACGACCAAAAACGGATTTACAAACTCATACTTTCAGTTCGTTGCTAATGGAACATGGATGAGAAACTTAGTCAAATGATAACTTCAAATGAATTATGTAATTCTATAGAAATAAAACTACTATCTATTTTATTTTCCGCATAGTTATAAAAATGGTAAATTTCAAGCCGCTTGCCGATGTATGAACTCCAAATTAATATATGTATTTTTTTTAATTCGGCCAAATACACTAATTTCAATTTGTAATATTGACACCAATAACTTTAAATTTTAGAAATGTAATCGAAAACAATAACAAATATTTATAAAAGTATTCTTTATACATCTCATTTAATATGCATTTTTGGGTGATAAATATAATAACGTCGACTATTCGACTAACATTATTCAATTTTACGTTCCACTTTTTCAATTAAACTACAATAATAAGTCACGTTCTACACAATTTTTTTTATTAGAAATCAAATACAAAATACATAATTAAATCTTGCGCATCATCCCCTTAACCCCGCTGCTTGGCCGCTAATCTAACGCTGTGTTGCACGATTAATTTGATTTATACCCTAGAAAGAAACTTACCTCTCAACTATTCAAAATACTCACACATCACTTTTTATCCAAGAATAAATATCTTATTAAAAATATTTGATTTAAAAGCTAAAGCTAACCCTAATGGACGCCCATGGATCTAAACCCTGCTTTGGAAATGACATCAGATCCTACGGACCGCTTTGACAGACAATGATGAATAGAAGAAGAAGACATCGGATCATTTCAGTAAACACATTCTAGATGGCGTATATCAACTTATTCTTTCAAATATTTATCAAAAGAATTATTATATTACAATAGTATCCAGGTAATTAACAAAAGAAATAAGTAGAACAATGCAAAAGTACCCATTGCAAGAAACCGATACGGCCATGTTATAAAGAATGAACTCATGATTCCCTTATTTGCAAAGGCGGTTAAATTCATATTTTTGAAAAATGTTAAAGGTGCTACCATCTCTTAGTCAAAAGCTGTAGTAATATATTTGAAATATATTTGTTTCCAAATTACCATTACATTCATAAAAATCAGCTCACTATTTCATACTTATTTCAAATTAATTAAAGCTATTGCGTATTTCATTACAAAGTAACTATATTTTTAGTTTTACTAAAACCACATAAATACAACGCTACACCAACTATGATGCCGACCTTCATAGACTGCACCGGCTAACTCCCGTTAATACTGTCAAAACACTGAAAAAGAACTACAGTGTTGCCAGAGTCAACATTGTAAATTTCGGCATTAGTATGGAAAAACTTGGCTATTTTCCACTAGCCCGTGGATTATTGGAGGGGAAGGAGAGGGGTGTCGTATTATCATAAGACAGGGGGTATTGATTATATAGATTGTGTGAAAAAAGGAAAACAAAAACTAAACAGCCTGATAAAATATAACATATAACAAATGTAAAGAAAAACATTTGACTATAAAAATCAATACAATATTACCAATAAATGTCAAACAACAGAACATTTATTACGCAATCATTTTAAAGAAATATCACAGGAAACTAAAAAATAAAAAGCATATGACTAAAGGCCATTTCTGTTTTGCATAAAAAAAAATGAGGTTTTTGAGTTACTTAAAATTAGTCACTGTCTGTATCGGATTCTTCTTGTTGCATTTCTGTTCTCTCTATACTATATAAATTATTTTAGTGTTTTTAAAGTATATTTCACAAAACTCGTCTATGCTGCAACATTTTGTTGTATTGTATCCACTTTGATAACTATCGCGAATAAAATTAAAAGTAAAATACGATTCTTTTTCTTTATTTTCATTATTTCCATATATGAAAATATCCACTCAACATCTGCATTACCATGTGACAGATGTTAAGATTATTAAACATACTTTGGAAATACACTTCACAAGTTATGTTCTTACTGTTTTTACCACCTACTACCATCAAAACGCGTTTCCGTTGAATAACAATTACCCACTGGTGGTTACCACTGTCGATTTGAAAGATACCTGTATTTAGATTTGGTTACTAACTATACTCAATTTTTTTTTAATAAAAATATCCATCACGTGTACCTAAATTAAAATATTCCAACACTTTTAACAAAAAATCCAATTCTGCCGCTACGCCGCTACTTCTGACAACATTGGGGACTAAGCTGATATTATAACAAATGACAGCTTGACTTTACCGCCAAAACTTCCATTTTGTTCAGTAAATGTGATCGTGAGCGTTGTGAGCACGAAAGCATTTATGTTTTGAACACGAAAGCTTGCAATTGCAAACATAAAATATAGCTGCAATTTTGTCACAATTTGCTTTTTGTTATATACATATATATATATACTTTCATTATTAGCTTTATATTATAGTCGGTAAGTATTTCAAAACTATATACAATCATCAACATGCCTAAAAAGAAGAGAGGAAACAACTGGTGTGCCAAGAAACGTATCATCAAGAATCCTACAACTATTTCTATAAATGATTCGATGCAAGATGAACCCGAAATTGAACAAATTGCAGAGTCTATGACTGTAGAGCAACCACAGCCTGGTCCTTCCACAGCAACGTAAGTATTTATTTTATATTAACAAGTTTTTATAGACACCTCTTGAGAACCAATCTAACCTTAAAATTTACATATTTAGCACAAATATCTGCTTTAAATCGACGTGTAGTTTTAATTAATTTCTCTAATATATCGTTATCTAAGTAAACTGAAAAGTGATATAATGTGCATCAGCCTTATAAATTGCTCACTCACAAGTCAGTAAGGCTAATCGAAGGTACACATATTGATGTATTGTCAGATTGTTTGTATTTAAAACCAATATAAGATGACAAAAATGTCGAAAAATGAATGAAAAACAGAATATTAAAAATATCATATTGCTAGCATTAATCACAAGAAATTGGTCAAACCTTGTTTCGTATGAACCTTACTCTTCTAAGAAGATTGACCGTTCTTAATTATAAATGCTTATTAGAAAGTTTAACAGTGTAACATAATTAATTAATTTAGTATATCAACATAAGAATTAAAGTATTTTACAATTTACAAATAATTCAATTACAACAAAAAAAGAGATATGAGCTACAGTTAGCTATACATAGTCGTGCCATAAGTTCTGTCCCATGATAATCTCATGATAAAAATGAAACAAGATAAGATATATTTATATGAAAGATATTATTTATTCGACAACATTTTTAGAATTCATAATCAAACAGTTTTATTCAAAATGTCCCCCCTTGGCCTTCACACACTGCTTCAATCTCGCGGGCCACTCATCTATCACTGCACGCACAGCTTCCAAAGGAATAGCTGCCGCTGATCGGATCAAATCCGCTTTCAGGAACTCGATATTACGGTGGGCTTTGGAGCAGGCCAACTGCTCTAGCAGGTCCCACAACTTGTAGTCTAAAGGATTGAGGTTCGGACTCCCTGAGGGCCAATCTTCCGCAGCAATGAACTCTGGCACATTGCTTTCCAGCCAGCGCTGCGTACTCTTAGCCTTGTGAGCGGGGGCGGAATCCTGCTGGTAGACCCAGTGTTGGTTGGCAAACAATGTACCACTTAAAGGCTTGACAATAGGATCCAGTATGTCGCTCTGATAGTTTGCCGCTTTTGTTTTCACGCCCTGTTTACAGAAATGGAGCTGAGTGACCCCTTCGTAGGACACCCCCCACCAAACCATGACTGACGCAGGGTGGTGGCCTCTCTCAACTCTCGGAATGATCTCCGAAGCTTCCTGTGAACTCCTTGCATACACTTTGTCATTTTGTCGGTTGAATTTTTCTTCTATGGTGAAGATTTTCTTATCCGTGAACAAAATCTTTCGGAATCCCCCAGCTGCGTACCTCTCCAAGAGCTTCTTGGATCTTGTCGCCCTGATGTGTCGCAAGGTGGCCGTAAGTCGCTGGCCCGTACGTCTCCGGTAAGCCTCTAGCCCTAGGTCTTGTTTAATGATGCGCGACATCGTCCGGACAGGAATCTTCATTTCCCTGGATAAGATCTTCTGCTTCCGGAGTGGATTCCTTTGAATCCTGGCTTTTACGGCTTTGATGGCTGCTGGAGTCCTTACTTGACGAGGTCTTCCGCTTCTTGGCCTGTCATCAACAGAGGACGTCTCATTGTACCGCTGAATGGTCCTAGACACAAATTTACGCGATATTTGAAGGCCGCGTAAGAGTTCAAAAATCTGACTAGCACTGCGATTACACTTATGTAAAGCTATCACTGCAATACGGTTCTCTGCCTTGCCCCACTCCATCGTTATGCTTCGAGAGATCAATACAAACTGAGGTATATGTAATTACCCGAAAAGCGCTTAATCAACTGACACCACAATGTAAACAATCGGACAAGTATTAACAGGTCTACACTTGTTTGAAAACGAGGGACAGAACTTATGGCATGACTACGTATTTGTATAATAACAATTTATGATTAAAGCTTTTTTTTAATTATAATTTATTTTAAATACACCTTGTGTATATATACTCTATACAACTATTTACAACAAAGATCACTGTTTTAATAATATAGAACTTGATTCAAATTGCATAATTTATACAAATAACATAACCTTTAAAAAATCTCATGGAATTTATATTTTGAAAAAATTATGATCTTCATTGATCAGAACATGATAAATTACATGAGATGAGATTTGACACCTACTATTCTGCCACAATATTATAGTATTTCACATTATTTTATCCAAGTTCTACTTTACTTCTGACAAAATTATTGTTTTAAGCAAAATGTTTTTGTTTTTTTTTTGGTTGTTTAGATTCAATAGAAACATAATCACTATTAGTATGAAAACTATCTGATATATGAATATTTTGATTCTCTAACAAACTTCTTTTTTTGAGTTGTCTACAATTTTCAATATAATTAGGCAGCAGCGGTGGCCGCAGTAGTAGACTCTTCCGTCTCCTGATTAGTCGCCGTGCGCTGTGCGGGTTCGAGTCTCGTCCCAGAAGAAATTTTTCTCTTGGCTATGGATGTTGTGATTGTCCATAGGTGGTAGATGGTCTCTGAATATCGAACGTGGAGGTACCACCCGACGGTTCTCGTAGGCAGAGCCAGAATGTGTGCATGTTGCATGCACACGTGTTCCCTCGCCAGAGTCCATGTGGCGTCCCTCCTTTCGTATGTATCCCCCATAGCCCCACAGTACATAATGGGTGCTTAGGCCTTAGGCCTTCGTGGTAGTTGGAATATAAAAAAATTGAATGCACATTCTAGCCACCAGTGGCAGTATCTCCATATTGCAGATTAAACATGTTGCTCTTTTATTTATTTTCGAGCCGGCTTTGGTATCAGTCTTCTTAAAATATTTCCATATGAGACCCTTTCCCTTTCTTTTTTTATTCGTCACTAACTTATTCAGAGACCAACGGTACTTCTCCAATTTCAGTACAGTCCGTTTTTTAATTAGAGAGTGTTCTAATAGAGCTGGATCAAATATGTAATAACACTTTCAGGGAACTTCGTTAATGTCCCTAGATTATACAAGCAATATTTTTTTAATTTTTTTACTGTTTCAAACATGCATTAACAGTATTTTAAACATGTTTTTTTTCTGCTAAATTTGAATATGTTAAACAAAAAAAAAACACAGTTTTAAACAAGACAAATATAAATTTTGTTTCTTTAAAACATAGTTTTTCTTCAACCTTGATTTCTGATATTAATATATTGTATTAATTCATTTTAATTTATACCTTAATTTAGTCTTAATGTTTTGTAGACATACTCCAGGTCAAACACAGGAGTCAAACATCTCGGTAAAAGGGAAAAAACGTAAACATAAAAGGAAGTTATGTCTAAGCAAACGAAAAAAACATACAGTAATTCATACAGCTTCTCTACACAGTGATCACTCCTCTTCATCACTTACGTCTTCTTCTACAATAGATCAACAAATGGTTATTCATAACACTACAGCAAGTTCAGACATTCCTATACAAACAACAACAAAGTAAGTGTATTAATTTAATATTTATTATCTTTTTCAATTAAATTGTATACCTAACATTAATTTTCGTTAACATTTGGTCTATACATCAGAATATAATTATATTTTTTCATACCAACAATATATTACATAACTAATGTGTGATATGACATGCATCATAATAGATAATTTTCATGTAATGTTACATATATTATCTGATTAATGATAATAATAAAATTGACTAAATAAGCAAAAAAGTACGCATATATAGAATCAAAAAATAACTATCAAGTTGTAAAACAGGAATTTGAAAAAAATGAAACAATTTGGGATGAATTAAAAGTTTCCATTTCTATTTTTGAAATAAATTAATTTTTCTCTCTATAAAGTAATACATATTTTTTTCTTTTGTATGCTTTTTACTTCTATCATCATATTTTCCATTATGCCATTAAATATTTACCTAACAATTTACTTGTTTATTTTGTATTTTCAGAGGAAAAATGAACAAAGGCAAAACACCATTGAAAAAATCTAAAAAACCAAACGAACCTCTGCAGTCAACACTTCCAGTAATATCACAACATCTAATACAATGCTCAGTAAGCCAATCAAATGAGGAGGTTTTTATTAACGAAGCAAGTAGAATTATAACTGCATTCCCCAATAATCACATTGCTATACCAGGTCCATCACGACTTTCAAATACAAGGTAAAGAATTCATTTATTTTTTAATATTAATTTAGATCCAAAATTAAATAATAAAATATAATTTAAATTAAATTCATAACTTAAAATTTCAATTCATATGTAGTAGACACTATCTTTATGCAAAATTAGTCTGAGGTTTAGGATAGATAAATTATTTGTTCAACTGTCGTAATTTTGATACACATTATAGTATAATGAGTGAAATACTTCTACTACTACAACATCTAATCACAATCATGTGGCCAGTTATAATGACTTGCCTTCGTATTTCAAATTTAAAAAATTTACAAACAGCAAAGGGTTATGCGGATTCAAACGAAATATAAGATATTTAAGTAGATATACGTATCACTTGAGTTATCTATCCTATTGTCTGTTCGAATCCACTTTTCTATTTTAGTGGATTTTATCTATCATTTTATTTATTTGTTATACAGTGTGTCCCAAAAAAAGTGTGCAATATGCTACTAGCGGTTTCTAGAGCTTAAAATAGGAAAAAAAGTTTATATAAACATAGATCTACAAACATCTCATAAGGGCGTTACAGTCTTTTAAAAGGGCTCCTCTGAAGATGGGTTTTCCTTAATATTTCCGAAACGTATTGAAATAAAGACCTAAAATTTGGTATTCTAGCCTTGGTTTTTATGTTGAATTCAAAAATATTAATAACTTTAGACAGTTTTATTTGTAAGCGTATATAACAGAGACGGACTCAGGTTGTTTAGCCCCAAAATTTTTGTGTGATTCTATTTTTGAAATTCAATTTTAGAATTTGAAAATTTAAGGTTTTTTACATAAAAAAGGTACTCTTATTACATATCGATAAATTGTGCCGTTTTTGAATAAAATCAAACTGAAAAAATTGTCATATGATAGGAAATGTACTGCGAATTTAAATGAATTGTTGAGTAATTAGCCATGGCAGCAAAAAAACTAATTTAATAATTGGTAAATATTACACAACTACATATTTCTATTGCAACATAATTAACATTTAGGCAAAAACAAAAGAAATAAATTTTTTCTACGAACGAAATTGAAATTTATTTAAAAAAGAAGACATGCAGATTATATATACTAAAAACTAGCTTCACAATAAATGTTCAAATAAATTCCCATTTTGTTGGATACAGAGTCTCGCTCAACGAACTAATGATTGCGTAGCCCAAAAAATGGAAAACCTTCTGCTTATTTCATTTACAACCTAATGGATTCTTTGAAGTAAATCTTCTTAAGTATTAACTTCAGTCGAATAAACTAGGTCTTTTAAGACCCCCAAAAATAGAAATCCAATGAATTTAAGTCAGGTGAACGTGGCGGCTATGTTATAAGACCTCTTCGGCCTTACCACCTGTCTGGAAAATTGACATTCAACCAATTTCGAACATTGCGTCCAAAATGTGTAGAGGCGCCATCATGTTGATAAAACATATTTTCTGGAAATTGCTGGCGCACATCCAATGGTATTATATCCATAAGCTCATTCTGAAGAAAGTTCAGATACACCTCTAAATTAAGAAGATTGGGAAGTACAATAGGCCCAATTACTTGATCCCCAATTATTCCTGCCCATAAGTTCAATGAAAATCTATGTTGGAAAATTGTACGTCGAACAACTTTTGGATTTTCATCTGACCAGTGATGCATGCTATAGAAATTAAAAGCACCATTCCTAGTAAATATTGACTCATCCGACCATAATATTCTAGGAATAATATTTTCATTTGCTAATATCCACTAGCAAAACTCGTTTCATAGTAAAAAATCTGCCTCCGTTAAATGCTGCATCCGTTTAAAATGATAAGGATGTAATACTTGCATTCTTGTCTTTCTTCCTATCTAAAATTATTATTTTTAGAATAACTATCAAATAGGTATATGGGACACCTTGTATACCTTTCGCCACATGAAAAAAATTCTTTCGGCTTATAGTAGTGTTTATAACCGATCGCATTGTTATGGTTAGATGTCAGCTTGATTTCGTGTGTCATTTTATTCGTTCACCATATTTGTTTCTTCAGGTTGCACCCATATCCGGATGTATAAGCATGTGTATTTGCTTTTGTAATTACATATGTACATTCATATCGGGCCTGATAAAGCCAACAAGCAAAAATACGTATCACTCGGGTTAAATAATCTATTTTTTGCTCGAATCTTCTTTCTTTATTTCCTTTTTTATTTATTATATATATATATATATATATATATATATATATATATAACACAAAAAAATGGACAAAATCTGCAAAACAAAAATACCTATTGAAGAATAAAGTGGATTCGAGCAGATAATCAGATAGGTGACTCAAGAGATATATATTTTTGTTTATTAGCTTCTTCAAACCCGAAATAAATGCACCTCTGCATACAGATGTAACCTGATGAATCAAAGTTGGAAAGAAAAAAAAAAGACACACAACATTCACAACAAAAACTAACCTACACTTTGTAGTATAAAATAGCTAAAAAACCTCGAATTTTCAAAGCGACATCTAACCACAATCATGCAGCCAATTATAACCACCTATTATGGTGCTCCAAGCCTAAAGGATCTACAAAGAGAAAATAATCATGTAGAGAAAGATATATAACAAATAAAAAGAAAGCGCGTTCGAACAGAAAATAGGATAAGTAACCTAAGTGATACATATTTTTGCATGTTGGCTTTATCAAGCTTGAAATGAATACACATATACAAGTATTAAAAGTAAATACCACAGCAGGTGGTTACAACCAGTCGCGTAATTGTGGTTAGATGGTGCCTTGAAAATAGGAAGTTCTTCAGCCATTTTATACTACAATGTGTAGGTTAACTTTTGTTGTGGACTTTGTATGTTATTTTTTCCTCTCCATCTTCATTTCCTTAAATTATACCTGCATGCGGATGTATAGGTACATGTATCTACTTTTTTTTGTTGCATATATGCATTCATTTCGGGCCTAATGAAGCCAACAAGCAGAAATACATATTACTTGGGTTATGCTTGACTCAACTACTGCTTTCGGGAAAGTGACAAATTCGCTTAGAAACGGAAAGCGAGACAACTCCCGCACATCTACGGTCCTGAGCATAGTCTTCAGGACAGAGGACAAAATCGAGGTTTTCGGTGATGCTATACAATGACAGTTCTCTCCCTACTATGATCGTCATAATGATCTCGTCGAAGAGCAACAAATTGTAAGATCCGTCAGGAGATATTTTAAAGCCAACGACGTCAGTGATCCCGACGCCGCCATTAATGATTCTTCCTCGGAAGATTCTTTTTCGGAAAATTCTTCAGCTGAAGAATTGCACATCACATCAGCGGCTTCTCCCGAGATTCCTCATTACACACTAGCAGAGCTTCAAGGTCATATTTAAGACCTCAAAGTGCATAAAACGCCTGGGGAGGATCAAATCACTAATAAGGCGCTGAAGCTGGTTTTACAGATGTCTTTGACTTATCTCGTGGCTATTATCAATACCATGCTAAGGACCCACTACTTTCCATCGGCGTAGAAGACTACTGAAGTTATAATAATGCCAAAGTAGCTGGGTTCGATATTTTCAAAGGACTATCAACCCATTAGCCTGCTGTCTGCTCCGTCTAAGCTCTCTGAAAAGGTAGTTGTAATTCCTGACTTGCAATTTAGACATCAGTCTGAGCATAGTACAAAGTTACAAGCGGTTAGGCTTATGGAGCGAACAACCAAGGGCTTTACTTTTACCGAACGTACTAGCATCTTGCTTCTGGATGTCTCGAAGGTATTTGATAAGATGTGGCACAAGGCCCTTCTCTATAAACTAATTCAAAAGAGCTTTCCATTTTAACTCCTAAAACTTTTGAAATTCTTCCTTGAAGGTAGGAAATTTCGGATAGAAATTAATAATTTCTTGTCGACAATACGGAACATCAGAGCCGGTACCCTCAGGGTTCAGTTGTATGGCCAATCTTTTACCCACTTTTTACGCATAATGTCCCTTGCCCTAACGACTGTAAAGTCTATCTATATGCTGATGACACTGCACTAATGGCCCAGTCGCGTACCGGAAATGTGGTTCACGACAGGTTACAAATTGCGGTGGATATTAGAATGGGCAGATCGGTGGATAATTAATTACTTGAAAACGCACGCTATCGTACTAAAAACCGTAGCGGCGCCTCGCCTGAGGTTTCAATGAATGAAGCCTGCTTACCATGAGGAAATTCTGCTAAATATCTCGGTGTCACTCTTGACAGGGAAATGACCTGACAGAATCACATTGAAGCGTTAAAAACTAAATTCCAAATTCCATTTCAGCACCTTTACCTCTTACTATGTAGAACCTCAAATTTAAGTTTGGTTAACAAAGTTTGGCTATATAAGATTATCATCAGACCATCAATCACTTACTCATGTGCAGCATGGTGTTTTCTTGCCAAAACGCACATGCGTAATCTGCAGGTTTTGCAGAACAGAACCTTACGAACCATCACTAACGCACCATGGTATATCTCCAACGACACCCTTCACACAGACCTCAACATCCCTTACCTAAGGGACTACATCAAACATCAGGCGCAATTACGTTATACTCAAACAGAATCACACAGCAACCCTCTGTTGCGTGAGTCAGTAGACTATACAATCAAGCAAGTTCACAAGCATACAAGACCGCAGCTCGCACTATGAGCAAAATCAAATCGTGCAATTTTAGACAACTTCCTAAATAAATTTTTGGATTAATTTAAAATAACCGAATACCAGTTAACAATAGCAAGGCGTCCCTTAAACCGGCGCACTTCATCCTCTTTGCTCTTCTCCCTTCCTTCCTTTCTTTCTTCTTCCTTTCTTTCTCCCTGACTTCGTATGGTATCTGGACAATCAGATCTGATATACCTACTGACTCACGATACTTTAACAAAGAACAAAGGTCCCTCGGACCGCTCTGACGGACAATGACGAATAAAGGTTGAATTTTATTGTAAACTTCGTATATCATTTTTTTCCCTTTCAATCTTTGTTTCCTCAGATTGCACCTAAATCTAGATGTATGGGCATATGTATTCACTTTTTAAATTGCATATGTGTATTCTTTTCGGGTTTAATGAAGCCAGCAAACGGAAATACGTATCATTCGGGTTACCTATCATATTTTATAATCTAATCTGCTTTTCTTCTTTTTGCGGATTTTACCCATTATTTTTTCTATTTGATATATACCTTTCTCCGCATAATTCTTTTCTCTTTTTAGATTTTTAGGACTTAAAATACCTCAGTAGGTAATTATAACCAATCACGTGGTTGTGATGACAGCTCGCATTGAAAAGTCAAGCTTTTCTAGCCATTTTATACTACATTGTATACGTTGGCTCTTGTTGTGGAATTTGTATATCATTTTTCCCCTATCCATCTTCGTTTCTTTAGGTTACACTCGTATCTGGATATATAAATATAGTTGTAGTCACCGTTGGTAATGGGTCAAAGTAAGAGTATCAATACCTCTTTATATATTCCCTATCTCCTTCATACATACACATGCAACTTTCTCCTGTATGTGAACATTTGTTCGATACACTCACAGACATACATTTTTTAATTTTGTGTCTCCGTCTCGAAAACTTTATAGTTATATATGCATATGCCCTTCAACCTATTTGACATCGATGTACAATTCAAGTTATCCTGTTATCAGTCTTCAATATAAAATTGTACAATGCCCGGAAATACGATCAATGGAGAAAACCGACAACTCATGCTAAATTTATTATAATGTTTCCATGAAAAAAATAAAAAAACGCTCTCCTGTTACCCACTTCATATATATATATACATATATATTCAATAAAACGCAAATAGCCATCTGTCACACTAAAATCGACCATTGCGAAGAGCGAAGTAGTCAATTATGGTGTAATAGATAGCACACTCTTAATTCAATACACCATACGTTGGAAATAAAGAACAGTCACAATGTTTTCATTCATTATCCAGAAAGAAAAAACTATACCTAGGCCATGCTAATGTGTAGCCAAAAAGCACGAAACTACTATCCATCATTTTCTGGATTTTGTTCGACTGGACGAAAACATTATGTTTATTATATTTGTAATTTTATTTTTATTTCAGTATTGTTCCTGTAGCAATCACGCCACAAAGGACATGTACTAATAGTTCAGAGATTGTTAACCATCCAACAAATATACGGGCATTGTCACAACAAGACATTGAAGAAACTACCTCTTTGCTAACAATGAGTACTTCCACAAGGATGGAAATTGATATCCCATTACAACACATTGAACCGATAGAAACGTCATCCTTACCAACTTTAAACCAACAACAGAGTGATGACAATATCACTATGACAATGGGACACGATGAACTTAATGACATATTAGCTAACCTTAATATAGACAATTTACTAGAAAATACCAATAATATAATAACCGAAAATGTAACTGAAACTATTCATCGAAGAGGGAATCATTACATGGCGGCAACTAATCATTACACAGGTCTATATACATTGGGAACTTTCACTTTTACCTGTTCTCACTGTAGAGCCTTACATTTTTTATGTGAAAAAAATTCCAGAAATGTTTATTCAAATTGTTGTAAGGATGGTGCAGTACATCTGCCTCCATTTGATTCATATCCTGAACAATTAAGAGTACTATTTCAAGATCGAGAATTTATGGAAAACGTGCGTTATTATAACAATAGTTTCGCATTCGCCAGCCTAGCTACCAATACTATAAATCCGCCTGGTCGAGGACCTTATGTATTCAAGGTAAACAGTAAAAATAACATTATGTATGGATCAAAAATAAAATTCCACAATGTAACCTGACAAATCATATCTCAGATCGAATTCATTTTTTTTTTCTAAGCAGTACCTATGGAAGTGACTTTATAAAATTTTAAAGTCTTACAATGAACACTTTACTCTGGAACGGCACTCAAAATATAAATTTTTGACCAAAATGTAAATGTTAGTATGTTAACAATTTTTCTTTTTTTTTCTACTCCTTCCTGTCAATTCAAAGCAATATGTACAATAATATATGATCATCTAAATAGAATTATCCAACGAAGTCAAATATTACCTTCAAATTGCAATATAATTTATTCGACAAATAGTTTAAATAATTCTTCTAGAAATTTTTTACTGATTTATTATTAGCTAGACATTTAAAATAGCTTACAACATTAAACATTTACAAAATTAGTATAAACCTTAATTCTAAAAATTCTGAGCTATATCGGGTTCAATTTTATTACTCTATGGAACATGATTCTTTTTGAAAGTTTACGCTCTTAGGTCAAACGATTCACTCTGGACACACGTTTACAATCTCAAAACAGGTGTAGCAAGAAATTGAAGAATTAACAAAGTATTAAAATTTATATTTTGATTTACAAACGCATATCGTTACCCTAATTGTAATACCACGTATCATCTATTTTGTCGTTTTACAGAAAATGATAAAAACTGTTTTACGGCGGCCGTATATAATTTATTCTTATAAATTATGTAACGTCTTTCTACTTTTACGGTTAAAATATACTTAGTTATCATTTTTAAAGATTCCATATTTTTTTGTGAAAAATATGTTTGATACATGTTATTGCACTTAGCTGTTTGATGATGATACTTAGTGTTTAGGTTTATTATAATGAAAATAGATGTTTCATTATTCAAACAATATACCAAACAGGGCTTTATTGAACATTGTTGTTGTACAATATTTAAATGAAACTAATACAGAGATTTCAAAGGAAACAGTAGAAAAAGATGACAAGGATGTTTGTCTTCCTACTCATAAGGCAGGTTCTCATAGAAACTGTGTACTTCATCTGCTAGAGTAGATTTCAGATCTTGCAAATGGTCATATTTCTTGTTTGATATTTTTAATCCATCTGTATAACATCTTTGGTGGTGTATCATACATGGCTTCTTTAAACTTCCTTGGTCGGTGAGCTCATCTTAAAACTGCAGATTAATTTGAATTTTGCCTTTTGATTAATAGTGGATCTCTCTTAAATTAGTTACTGTTGGGTCATGTGCTTTTTTTCCTGGACTGATACTATGATATACCATTTGGTCTTTAATATCATAATTTCTGAAATCCGTATGGTTCATGTATTTAACTTCGTACGGTTCTGGTTTTAATCGCGCTTCTCTTGTTACTTTCACGTAGTCCGTGGGTAGTTCAATTTCCCGATTATGAAACTTCACATATTTCCTTCTGGTTTCTCTCTTTTCCATCAAACTTGCTACATATATCTATCTGTTTTTGCTCCCAAGACATATCAGTCCAAAATTTTTTAAAAATCGACAAGCGCTCTTCATGAGTTATAATATTACAGTGTCTCTTTTTGTATTTCAAGCACTTCATGGAGGAGCAAGCTGGACCTAAACTTCTGCATTGCGTTTCGCTATTGTGTAGTATTTGACCAGTTTTGCTTCGACTATATCCTAGATAATCCTTGCCTTCCATTCCGTTACGTTTTGTCTTTTCCCTAGCCCAATGAATATTTTCAGGTTTCCTTTTTCTCTTGGATTTCTTCTGTCGTTCAAGTTCTTGTCCATCGATACAATTTTCGTCTTCAGTATCAATAAAGTCTGAATCAAGTTCGTCAAGTTCATTTTCTTTTTCCATTTCATACTCCCGATCAGCATCCTTTGAGACAGACTGGTCTTGTCTTCTAGCTGCTGCATTCATTTCTCCATATAAAAGTTCACTTGATGTTTGCAGGTTTTTGAAACAGATTGGGAAGCTATATCAGCATAACGTAGTTGGGAAACGTTGTTCTCGCCTGAAGCTGCAATTGGAAAAACTGTACTTCCGTCCGCATGCTTAGATGGTGACACATGTTCAGCATTATGTACCAATGCGTCTATGATATCTACATTCATATCATTGTAACTCAACGTTAGTGGGAGAACAGAGTCAATTTCAGAAATTCCTTTCGAAAATCCATCATTAGTCATATTTTCAATAATAACATCTTCATTTGTAAAAATGATTGAATGTGTAAGCGCTTCTTCTAAAACCTGGCTGTTTTTATTCGTTTCCAAAGCAGCGGCCAGAATCCTTTTACTTCTGCTTGACATCTATAATGGAACAAAGCTATAAGATACTAACGGCTGGATGAGGTTCCTATAAATTCCGAAAAGTTGTATTTAATTTAGAAGTATACATCTTGGCAATTTACTTGAACTTGAAGTAAGCATTTTGGCAACAGCGCTTTTCAAATATAAATTTTATAAATTAGGAAATACGAAGCAAGGACATTTTAATGTTTCGCCGATTCTTTCGCTAAATGCTTGGAATAGTAATAAACAATAACTCGTATCATCCAACTACAAAAAGAATTACAATGGGACATAATTTGAGATAAACACGTATCATCAAGTTTGAATAAAAACGGCTTGTTTATTCAAAGTATTGCTTAATTACTCAAACAAGACTAATAAATGACATGTTCAGTATATTAACGCTAATATATACTACTCTAATTATGATAATTATCAACGTACGTTTGCTAAAATCAGCTTATTCCTCTAACTTGTCGCAGCGTGATGCGCACTTTGTAAGGACCACGTCTAAACTGCTGTTCATACGAGGTATTTTTTCAGCTAACTTTGTGGATGATGTTACGCGGTATTCTTTGAAATGAAATAGCTCGTTTCTTATTGGTTAAACTGATACGTGGTTTTTACAGACGGTGTACAATACTGCTTACTTTTTATTTATGCTAGAATCTCAATTTCAGCAAATTTGATGATACGTGATATTACAATTAGGATAACGATATCTAAATCGGATCATTCAACCTAGAATCTTAATATTTTACAAAACCTCATACTTCTATAGGTACTTTCCAGGAAAAAAATAAGCTTGATCTGAAATATAACCCACCAAACCAAGTCGTGGAATTTTAGTTTTATCATATATATATATATATATATATATATATATATATATATATATTTTGATGATATAAATATTTTGAAACTTTCCATTACAATGTATATTGAAAAAAAGAAACATACAGTGTAGCATAACATACACTATAGATCAAATTTTGTGAATTGACCTAAATATATCTTAATCCTAAAGTTGATAGTTTGTGAGATGCAAGGCATCAAAGTTACAATTTTATTTTCTATTTTTCCTTTTTACTTGAGAAGTACAGGGTGGCCCATAAGTCCTTTGAGCTGGAAAAAAAGGAATAAAACCAAACTAGTTACATTATGAAGAATTATTATATTTTGTTATCATCTTTATTGAATGGGAATTATGTTTTAAAAATCAGATCGTCTAAATGCAATCCATTACGATCACGGCACTCATATAAACGACGTCTAAAATTGTCGATGACTGCGCGGAAAGTCAACACTGTAATGCTTGCCATTTCTCTTCGGATATTTTCTTTCAGGACATCAACTGATCGCGGAGTGGTGTCGTACACTTTACTCTTGAGGTAGCCCCATAAAAAGAAGTCCATTGGGGTCAAATCTGGACTACGTGGTGGCCAGGAAATGTCTCCTCTTCGAGAAATTACTTTGCTGGGAAAAAGTTGACAGACGACGGGCATAGAAGTGTTGGAGGTGTGGGCAGTTGCTCCGTCCTGTTGAAACCAGGTCTGCGTATTATAGCCTGGAAAATTCTGCAACGCTGGTGTCAAAAACTCTTCTATCATTGCTACATACCGCTCCGAAGTAACAGTTAATGCGCGACCTCTGTCGTCCTCAAAAAAATAAGGGCCTACGATGCCATGCGCTGACATAGCAGCCCAAACTGTAACTTTAGGGCTGTGTAAGGGCTTCTGATGCTTACGCCTTGGATTTTCGGGGCTCCAATAACGGCAATTTTGTTTATTTACATGCCCGTTTAAATGGACGTGAGCCTCGTCCGAGAACAACACATTATTGAGCGAAGAAAATCGATTCAACATTTCATTCGCAAAGTTTATTCTCTGAATAGCGTCATTATCTTTAAATTCCTGCACTAACTGAATTTTGTAAGCGTGCAGACGTAAATCTTTCCTTAAAATCCGCTGTAAAGATGTTCTGGGTACGTTTAGTGCACTGGAACGCTTATGAGTAGACTGGGTAGGATTTTGACGAACAGACTGTGCCACAATGTTGATGTCTTCTTCAATACGAGTTGTCCTTGGTCGACCCCACCGCTGTTTATCTAACGTCGAACCAGTCTCTTCGAACTTAGCAGCCCAGTTCTTAATCGTTTGAGCTGTTGGACACTTTGTAAAATTGTGTAAATTGTGGTATTCTCGATATTTACGCCGCGCAATGGTTGCCGAATCATTATTTTTATAAAACGCGCGCACACAGAAAGCACGATCCGCTCCAGTGAAACACTCCATGGCGACTGAATTCCCAGACACTGAAGATACTGCCCCCACCTCGCCCGCGCCGCTCACGCTCACCCGTTAAATTTTATTCAAATTTGAAATTTCAACGGACTTATGGACCACCCTGTATTTTAGATTTTGACATAAAACTCGGTATAGGGAGGTTTTCTAGTATGAGAAACAAAAATTCAATATTGTTCTTGGGCAAAGTTATACAGAGCGACAGTTGTAGTACTATTTCGGTCAATAACTTATCATAACTTTTTTTGCTACTCTGTATACAACTAAACAAAAAATCTTATTTTTCCGTATTTTCACAACAAAAAAGACTTGTTTGAAATGTCTAAAGCTAATAGTTTTCGTGATATTTGTTTTTTAAAGTTCCATTGTATTGTTTATACCATGATGATACATCATTTTTATAACATAATAGTCAAATTGTTTTATACAATATGTGAGTAGCATTGCTATGATTTTTAACAATAATAAATGAAGATGGCAACAAAACTACTAAACGAAAATAATAACTACAAAAGTTGTTCAAAATGAGCACTACCTTATCTAACACACTTTCAAATTCGACAAACTAATCCTTGCTACATTCTCCAAAACGTCGATACTATTTTTCATTTCCTAACTATGGTAGAACATTTTTTGTTGAAGATCATTTCAATTTCCACTAACGTATTGTAAATGCGTCGTTTTAAATAACCCTAGAAGAACATTTCTTCTATATAAATTAATTTGAAATTGTACTTTTTGGCAAGTTTATATTATTTCATGAGGATATATTGCATACATGTAAAGATTTTGCGAGTTAAGAGCCATGTACAAATTTCTATCCTTGCGGTTTCTTCATTCGTTCTTAAACCATATACTTTTTGCAAGTGGTATGTATGGAACATTTGGAAACTTGATATTCTCGAACTACATTCCCAACCTCAACTGTACAATTTTCAAAGACAACATCTAAAACATTTTCTTCAATTTCAGCTGTATGTACAATTTTGAGAGCTCCAGTAAGTTGGCCCATACTTCGAGCAAATTTAACTAAAATGCAAATGGTATTTACTACTCAAAATAAGACTATAATCATTTCTTATCAGTTTCTCGTAACCACTGATCGTTTCGTTGGAAAATCTTTGAATTAGGCAAGTGACTATTAGAGAATCTGTCAGCGTACAATCTTCGTGCTTTTAAACCACTACATTTTACTAATCCATATATTAAATTCTCATCAGAATATTCATCAAACCTATATTCCATGATGGTAAACGTTTTATTGTCAACTTACAATTATTCATAGACCTTAAAATAATCTTATGCCGAACATTAGAAACCATAGCAACGCTACCCAGATATTATCTAAAGCAACTTTATTATTATGTTGTAAAAATAATTTATCATCATAATACAAATAATGCATTGGTATTTTTAAAAATTACTTTTTACACTTTACACTTTACACTTCTAACTGTTGTTAAAATAGCACAAAAAAGTTATGATGATTTATTTACCGAAATAGTACTGTATGTGGCGCCCTCAAAAAGTTTGGCCATAAAAAATAACGAATTCTTGTTTCTTATAGTAGAAGACCTCCCTATACCGTGTTTTATGGCAACATCTGAAATACTTCTCAAACATTAAGGAAAAATAGAAAATAAAATTGTAACTTTGACATCCTGTATCTTGCAAACTATCAACTTTTAGATTGAGATATGTTTAAGTCAATTCACACATTTTGGTCTGTAACATATCCAGTTTCGAGATTTCCCAACCTTTCCCAGTATATATTTCATATCTTACTTGTATCTTTTTTACAATACTATTTATTTTATTCATATACAAAGAACAGTTATATATTAGACACCAATTATTTCATTTTTTTAAACCACTTATAATATTAATAAATTCGTTATCCCTTCCATAATGAATTTATTTTTCTTTACAGGTACAGGGAGAAATAAGACATTATATATCAAATGTTTCAACAAATATTTCTAATGAACGCAGACAATACGGCAATCTATATTTTTTGGATACCGAACTGGCAAATCAGCTTCGGTCTGCTGGCCCACAAAATCGAACGGAATTAAATCGAGAAACCGTCGATGTTATTTCTAATTACATGCACAGCCACAATCCTTTTGCTCAAGCGTATAGATTTCTTAAAGATGTCTATCAGGAACAACAACATAACAATCGTCAACTAACTTTAGAATTGTACATCAATAACAACCGTGCTCGGGATATTAATTTTAGACAATATGGCGCAGTACAAGCAAATGAAATAGCAGCCGTATTTATTTCTGAAGATGGAAGACCGCCCCTGGATCGTTGCTTACATGTTTATTGTCGAGACAACGATCAAATCATCCACGAATTACCATATCTTAGTGTTAACTGCGACGCAATGACATATCCCCTATTACATCCAAGAGGTGAGCCAGGCTGGCAATCTGGAACAGCGCATCAACGTAGAAGAGGTGATGTATCTTTACTGGAATACTACAGTTTTAGAATAGCTGTTCGACCAGATACTTTCAACCAATTTGTAATGGCAGGCAAGCTGACGCAACAATACATCGTAGATGCATACGTAAAAATAGAACAGAGTCGATTACAATTTATTACTGAAAACCAACCACGCATCAGGCAAGAAATATTCCAAGGACTAATCGACTATTTAGACTCTAGACAACTTGATGTTCACTATCAACCAGGCAATATTTTCATCCTACCGTCAACATTCATAGGAAGCCCACGCGCATTTAGACAAAATTATTTGGATGCCATGTCTATAGTCACAAAACATGGGAAACCAGATATTTTCCTAACATTTACTTGCAATCCTGTTTGGCCTGAAATTAGTAATAACCTAGATACAAACCAACATTCCTCAAATAGGCCCGATTTTGTTTCGAGGGTGTTTAAGAGCAAATTGAAGGAATTAATAGAAGATATTGATAAACGACATGTCATGGGAATTTGCGTTGCTTACGTTTACGTGATAGAATTTCAGAAAAGAGGCCTTCCTCATGCGCATATGTTGATTTGGTTGGAAGGATCAGATAAAATCTTGGACTCTGCAGCAATCGACCGTTTAATTTCAGCAGAATTTCCCGACCCTATCACGCATCCCAACTTGCACGAATTGGTCAAAGTACATATGCTTCATGGACCTTGTACTGCTGCTCGATGCTTAGATGACGAAGGACATTGCAGCAAACAATTCCCGAAATCTTTGCGTGAAGATACATTATACAATTCCTCTGGATATCCGCTATATAAAAGACGGCCAATAGAAGTACCTATACACATAGGTAGAAGAACAGTAGATAACGGTTGGGTTGTACCATACAATGCTTATCTACTTGAAAAATACGAAGCTCATATTAACGTAGAGGCTTGTTCTTCAATAAAAAGCGTGAAATATTTATTTAAATATATATATAAAGGATTTGATAGAGCTCAAATTGTCGTGCGAACTGTAGAGGAACAAGACGGTCAAACAACAACTATTCAGGAACCTATATACAACGAAATTCAAACGTTCATGGACGTTCGCTATGTTAGCGCACCTGAGGCAATGTGGAGAATTTATACATTCGAAATGCACGATATGTCTCATGCTATCATCAAACTTACTGTACATCTTCCCAATATGCAACAAGTCTATTTTAATACAAATAGTACCATCCCTGACGTTGTAGAAAGAGCCGCAACACAACACACTACGCTAACAGGATGGTTCGCTTTGAATGTACAAGACGAAGAAGCTAGGCAATACACTTACGTACAAATACCTTATAAGTATGTGTGGAAAATAAGTCAAACAAGACATTGGGTAAAACGTCAACGAAATTTTGATCGTTTAATTCCTAGGTTATATTTTGTTCATCCTAGAGAAGGTGAACGATTTTATCTTCGTCAACTTCTTTTGCATAAAACAGGATGTAGATCATTCGAAGACCTTCGAACTGTACATGGCCGTACGTACGAAACGTTCCGTGACGCTGCTATTGCGATGAACCTTCTCACGGACGATAGCATTTGGTTTTCTACTTTGCAAGAGGCTATACGCGTAGAAATTCCACGAGCTCTTCGCCGTATGTTTTCACAAATGTTACTTTTTTGTGAAATCGAAAATCCGTTAGCATTATGGGAACAATTTAAATATCATTTATCCGAAGATTATATACGACGCTTAAATAATAACGAACTAGCCTACAACTATGCTTTGGCTTACATCAATCGATATCTAACACTACAAGGTTAGTATTTCTATCAATAATTAGTTTTATTAATTCATTTAAAATTGATGCCTATGTTTTCAAATAACTTTTTATTTTTACTTTACATTTTTTCCGTATTCGAAATTTTTTAAATTTAATCATTTTCTAGGTAACACTACCGTGCTAAAAAAATATGAATTAATTCATTACGTCAATATCTTTAACACTATTAATTTAACATAACATAATACATTTTTTTATTTCAATCGATCTTATATCTATATTACATTATTTTAAAATAATATTAATGTGATAAGTAATTTCCCAGTATAATTATATAATATTTGTTCAATCACATACATTTTTATTTTTAGGCAAATCAAATAGAGACTTTCAACTACCCTTACCCACTGAACCAGTAGAACACCTAATCGAAGATGAATACAATTATGACCAAGCAGACGAACAACAAATTGCTAATAGGAACATTCCTCTGTTAAACCAAGAACAACGCCTTATTTTTAACGACATACTTTTGGCCCTAAACGAAAACGAAAGGGTTCCACATCGTCTATTTTTTATTAACGGAATTGGAGGTGCAGGAAAAACATTTCTGTTGAATACACTACTGGCTTACTTACTAGGAAATAATCACCGTTATATTGCTATGTGTTATACTGGCATCGCAGCCAGCTTATTGAAAAATGGCCAAACGATTCATTCTTCTTTTATGTTACCGGTTCCATTTCTAGAAAATTCAACGTCGAGGATTCGCAATCAGAGTACGATTGCTGATAATATTAGATATTCAAAAATTATTGTTATTGATGAAATATCTATGGTACATAAAAGTATATTCAATGAGATAGATAGAAAGACAAGAGAAATAATGAACAATGACATTCCATTTGGCGGCAAGATTATCATAATTCTAGGTGATTTCAGGCAATGCGCACCTATCGTTCCGTTGGCAGGCAAAAATGAAACTATTTCTGCATCAGTGAAATGTTCCCAACTATGGCAATACTTTGTTCAGTACGATCTTGTTACGAACGTTAGAGCATTGCCACAAGAAAACGAATTCAAAGATTGGCTGATGACCATAGGAAATAATTCCGAAATTTTACGTCGCTTAGAAAATAGCAGAGACACTATAGTTAAAATTCCTAATCGTATCATTGTAGAAGATGTTACTGAAAGCATATACGGTAGTAATTTAACTGAACACGATTTCACATTATTACAAAAAGCGATTTTGTCTCCACTAAACATTCATGTCAAGGATATCAATTCAGTTGTTTTAGAAAAACTGCCAGGTAGGTCACGGCAATACCTAAGTGTCGATAGTATTATCCGAGAAGACGATACAACCGAAAATGCTGCTGATGATTTAGATTCCGCATGGCCGCAAGACTTTTTAAATTCTTTGGATGCTCCAGGACTTCCTCCCCACATACTTACACTAAAGATTGGCGCAGTTATCATTTTAACGAAGAATTTAGATGTGAAGAGAGGTTTATGTAACGGCACACGTTTATTGATTCATAATTTACACGAAAATTTTATAGAAGCGAAACGAGTGGAAGAATCTAATAATGAACCTTCGATCGAATTTATTTCCAGAGTTGATAATATCGCTCTAAATTCTCTTGATCTACCAGTCAACTTGAAAAGGAGACAATTCCCTGTACGTCTGGCTTTTGCAATGACAATTAATAAAAGTCAAGGTCAAACTTTGAACAGTGTCGGCTTATTTTTACCAGTAACAGTATTTGATCACGGCCAACTGTATGTTGCACTATCAAGAGCAAGAAGTTTTGAAAACCTCAAGATTCAAATGATAAATATAGGTAACCGTCAACATGTAGCTGAAACTCCAAATAATCACTCTTACACTGTTAACGTAGTATATAATGAGCTATTGCAAAGCAGCATAATCCAGTAAAATGAAGAGAAATAATAAGAAATTCTTTCTTGGACAAATATTATACAATATGGAATGTAGATATATTTCAAAGACCATTGTACTCAAGCGCTACAAATGCAAATAACATAAGGAAATAGAAAAGGTTGATCTAACTATAAAGTACAACATAAATGGTAGTGGAGGAACCATAATTTCACAAGCAAAATCATGTTACCATATACTATTCTGTGTATTCATACTTACTACAATACTAATGGGTCAAATAAGGACTTTTATGTAAGTTATACAAAATATTTTTCACAAATATTCTTCTGAACATCTTATTGTACATTTTAATCCCTTTTTTTAGATGAATCGTTAAAAAAATAAACTATGCAAGGAATATGAACGATGAACCTACAAGCTACAAACTACAATATTAATACTGAAAAAAGGATGCATAGTTTGCAACAACAGATGGAGATAGTCCGAGAAACTTTTCAATACAAACTGCAGATTAGACCATCAACAATCTTTCCATTTTTAGCTTTATTTTTCAGTTTATTTAAAATTATACAATATAGAATGTAGATATATTTCAAAGACCATTGTACTCAACCGCTACAGAAGCAAATAACATAAAGAAATAGAAAAGGTTGATCTAACTATAAATTACAACATAAATGGTAGTGGAGAAACCATAATTTCACAAGCAAAATCATGTTACCATATACTATTCTGTGTATACAATACTAATGGGTCAAATAAGGACTTTTATGTAAGTTATACAAAATATTTTTCACAAATATTCTTCTAAACATCTTATTGTACATTTTAATCCCTTTTTTTAGATGAATCGTTGAAAAAATAAACTATGCAAGGAATATGAACGATGAACCTACAAGCTACAAACTACAATATTAATACTGAAAAAAGGATGCATAGTTTGCAACAACAGATGGAGATAGTCCGAGAAACTTTTCAATACAAACTGCAGATTACACCATCAACAATCTTTCCATTTTTAGCTTTATTTTTCAGTTTATTTAAAATTATACAATATGGAATGTAGATATATTTCAAAGACCATTGTACTCAACCGCTACAGAAGCAAATAACATAAAGAAATAGAAAAGGTTGATCTAACTATAAATTACAACATAAATGGTAGTGGAGGAACCATAATTTCACAAGCAAAATCATGTTACCATATACTATTCTGTGTATACAATACTAATGGGTCAAATAAGGACTTTTATGTAAGTTATACAAAATATTTTTCACAAATATTCTTCTGAACATCTTATTGTACATTTTAATCCTATCAGCTACGACTTATTTACCAAAAACCATATCATATTTATAAGATATAAACAGTTTTGTTGACAAAAAATGTATGTCCATTTACGTTTTTTAGATGAATCGTTGAAAAAATAAACTATGTAAGGAATATGAACGATGAACCTACAAGCTAAAAACTACAATATTAATACTGAAAAAAGGATGCATAGTTTGCAACAACAGATGGAGATAGTCCGAGAAACTTTTCAATATAAAATGCAGATTACACCATCAACAATATTTCCATTTTTAGGTCTATTTTTCAGGTTATTTAAAATACTAAACAACAAAACAATATATGAAAAAGCAAAACCCCACTTGATTAATGTGCATCCAATATTAGATCACAAAAATTACGAAACGCTCACATTTGGAAGGTCTAAAAATCTGTGATTATATGTTGTCTGCTATTTACCATAATGCTAATGTAACAGAAACAGCTTGGAAAAATAAACCTTATAAAGAAGAAAAACTCGACTTAACCATAAACTGCAATATTAATGCTGAGAAAAAGACAACTTGGAAGCAAACTATAATAGGAAAAGATGACAATCAATCATGTTTTTCCAAAAACAGATGGAAAATGCAATCTATATCATCTGCATTTTCTCCATTTTCAGGTTTCTCTTTCAGTAAAGTTAAAATTACAAAACAAAAGACACAACAGAAAGAAAATCCACTTAAATAGTGTTTACGCATTATTATAGCAAACCATATATCTATACAATTACAGAATGGATACTAATGTCTGAAACATCTGACGTAAGTTTCTTTGATATAAGATATTGTTCTGAAAACATTCATGTACATTATTTTAGTGGTATCAACTATATTTTTTCACAAACACAGATATTAAATATTTCTAAGAATCTGACATTTTAACAAAAAGTCCTGCATTATAATTTTTTTTTCAGATGACATGATGGAAAATGAAATCATATGAAAAGGGGATATGATCTACCTAGATAATTTTTGCAATATGAATACTGGAAGAAGAATAACTTAGGAAACATAGTCTAATGAGAAACAATGATAAACACTGGCAATCATTTTTTGCGAAAATAGATGGGAAATACAATTTTCCGTTACCAATTTTTTTCAGTATACTTGAAATTATAGAACAAGGAAACAAAAAAATCAATGAAATAAATAACAAACAAGAGAACGAAGTAACTTAGATGATACATTAAAGTTTTGGTAAATGGTTTTTTTTTTGGTACAAATTGAGAAGCAAATTTAATGTATGCAAGGATTATAAAAACACCTAATTCAACAACCATTTACCATTTGTTCAATTAAATATTTATTTACTTATTTAGATTTCCTTTTTTTCAGATATATATTATTCATAGTCGTTTTGTATTTGTTTTCAATTTTTGAATAATCAGATTTTACGTTTAATTTTTGTGCGTCTTACAGTTTCATTTTTTTTTCTTTTTGTAATAAGTATTTATCATTTTATTGAAACTGAAAGACGGGTGGAAGGAGGGTGGGACTCGACTTGCAGCTACCTCCGCGCGGTGAGTCCTGGGTAGTCCGAACATGGACTAGCTGAGAGCTGCAAATTAATCCTTTTCATCTAACATTAATCAGTTACAGATCACTGTTTTAATTATTTCTGTTTAATGATGATAAATGTTGAAAAATGTTGATGTGAATTCTACTTTGCAACCTGTTCAGAAGTAGAAATTGTCACGCCACTATGGACGATCTCTCTACAAAGAAATCAACAATATTCCTCGCAGTCCCTGTCCGCTGTATTGATAATAAACTATAGATGAAGGATAACTTTAAAAGCAAACTTTAATGAAAACTAAAGGCAGTCAGGTAATTTTTTTTTTCCAAAAACAAAAACGAAATGCCACTTTACTAGCAATTTACTATATAATCTTGCCATTTCAGATTCTTTCTACAGTATATTTAAAATTGTAGAACACATAACTATATAAAGCAAAAACAGAGTCCACCTAAATAATATGTACCCATTATTATACTATTACTATGTACAACTACAATACTACAAAATTATCACATCAACATAGTAAAATCTGATAATCAAAAATTTTTATGTAAGTTATTTTAATACACATATACTCCTAGATATAATTTTATATTTAATAAATTTTTTTAGGCATTTAATATCTTCACGCTGATGTTAGATCCTAAGCGAATTATACTTCGACGATGATAGAAAATGCCATTCAAAAATATCAATTGTTATAAAACCTAATAGACTTTACAATGAATACATATATCATTCTTTATTATCACTTTTCCAATTTTCTTATATTAATTGTTAGCTGTAAAATCTAATAAATTGTAATTTTTCAAAAATAAATCAATATATAATTGAATATCACTTGTTTAATTTCCTTATCCCTTATACTGTATATACTTTCAGCTTAAAAGAAAATTCGTCAAATTGTTTTCAACAGTCACAATTTTACGAAATATTAATATTTCAGATCACATCGTACCGCTATTAAAATTTATTTTGACAATAGAAATTTTCCATCTGCTAAAACAGATTCTGGTGTTTATTGTGTCACTAGAAGATACACTTACTATCCTCAAGGCGTACAAATTTCTTGTGAATAATCACTACCTAACTTATAGAGTAAATGATTTTCTTTTAAGCAAGGTATTGCTATACCAAGAACGAAAAATCCTTATAATTTTTAGAAATCGATTCATTGATAGTGAAAAAAAAAGAAGTAAAAATTGCTCAAACCTCATTCTTTGACGTTCAAAAGTTCTGATCTTTTTGAAAATACTTTTAAACGTATAGAATTAAAAAATGGTAGAAGGATAGGGAAAGGTAGAAGTAACATACAGTATATAGCATTTAATTAACACACTAAAACAACTAGGCAATTAAGGGCGCTATCATCAATAGTTCCTACAATTGTCTCGTAAAACGCTATTATAACCTTCATTTTCATACTCTTTTCTATCCTTCAAAAAGGTTTATGTATTAAATTTCTACTGTTCCATATCATTGCCAGGGCTGTCCTATTGTGAGGTTGTTTTATTTTAATGATACGAAATTTCAGGCTAATAAAACATAACCCGAAAATAAAGCGCTGACACGGAACAACAGAAACGTTTCTGAAAAACTGTACAAACTATAATCAAATTCAAGCGGATAACCAAATGGAAATGGTATTTACCATTTTGGATTGGTATTTACCGATCGGTTCAACCGAGTGTAATTATCAATTTGGTTATAAGATCCGTGACGTCACGAATCAGCTGTTATATGTCATAGTTATCACCGCAAAATTGTGGTATTTACCCAACTTAAAAGTAGTTTTATATTTCTGATTATTATTTGAAATGTGACCAGTTAGAATTTTGCCGAGTATTGGATATTATTATTGTACTTCAGCTTCATTTTTGAGAACATTGATACAGGCTGACTTCAGTTTTACCATACAGTGGAGCACCTTATTAATTATACTCATTATTGTTGGGAGCACTTTAAATGTAGTTCTTATGCTTAACAAACTATCCTGTGTAGCCATATACCACAAGAATATTAAAATATGGCCATATAAACTGACTAGATGATATCCACCTGTATACGGTTTTGCTAATTTCTTTTTTCATCATTTCTGCTGAATCAATAAATGTTTTCTTTGACACGCGGAAAAATTTAG